AGGAAGAAAACAGCGAAAGTTTAACCTGAAGTAATCAATGGACTGGAAGAGAAAAATTTATTAAAATTTCATTCATCAAGCTAATAATCATTCATATTTTTTCTTTTTTTAAATTCAGATACGTCGTTGCTTACGTTGGCGCTTCCAAAGGAATGAATTTCTGCGACGTTTATATGACTTACTTACATTTGTTGTCACAAAGATCGCTTTATCTTATGCATCATATCCATTTGTGATGTTACACCTCGGACCCGGCCTATACTTTTACAGGTACTCGGGAATTTTGATTTCAAAAGTTTTTTAGATCGCTCCATTATTTTCCCTTCATTTTCACCTACTGTGAGCTTGTTCCTTAAACAACAGTATATGCCTCAGTTCATTGGAGTCTTTGTTTTACAGACTCTGATGATTAAAACATTTGTGGTTCTTATCGGGATTGATGATTTCGCACTATTTAATAAACTAATTGATTTCATCAATTAGGTTTTTAATAGGGCATATTGTACGTTAGAATTATCTTGGGAGAATAAGAAATGATTTTTGATGTAATCTCTAATGGTCGGATTTGCACTCTTCAATTATTCGTCATCTTCGCTTCTTTCAATCGGCAGCGGTTCTCTCGCCATCATTTTGACGCTGCTGAGATGAAATACCATGTCATTTCTTTTTCTTTTAAATTCAACTCATTTTTCTTATAGGCAAATGTATTTTTTCCTACACTTCTCTGCACTTTTTGCTATACTTCTCTTGCCTCGAATATTGCCTCCAGAATCAAAACCAATTCAAATTGGTGATGTGAAGAAATCATCATAATCAGATCTGTCATACACTCATTATGGACCTTATTTTGTCGCATTTTTCTTGGATGAAGCACACTGAATATTGTTCAAGTTAGGAGTACTAGACAGTGATATAATATCCAAAAATAAAAAACCTTAGTCTTTGAAACGGTTTTATTTCATCGTTACAGCTAATTTCTGTTGTAGTTCACTATATATCGCAGGTGGTTTATTCTGTTCGTAGTTAAGTTTAATCTTCAAACCATATTTTTCAAAGTTCCTGAACTGTATTGTCATCCCGGTCATTTTCAGTTGATCAGTGGTTTTCGTTTAGAAAATTTCTTTGGTTTAACTTAAACTGTGCAAGTTATTGTGCTTGATGCGTTTCTTCATCCCTTCTCTGTATTCACATTATTTCGTTCAGAACTACGATGTATTTTTGTCATGCTTGTCAATGAAATCTAAATTCTTTTTTCTGTTTTCAGAATTTATTCTATCAATCTTTACAGGTTATAATATATATATATATATATATATATATATATATATATATATATATATATAT